CTGTGTTTAGTATCTGCTTTGAGTAATAATAAAACTCATATTCTATACATTAAAACAAAAATCTGCTGAGGATATAACCTATGTCTTCTACTCCCACCACAGAGATGTGCATTTTAAAAACGTAAGCTAGGTTTTATATTCAGTAATTTTCCTTAGACAATGAAGGTGGGGGGCTAATTCTTCAATTGAGCCAGTAAATTAAATAGGGACATTCATGAAAAAGATAGCTGTAACACTTTGGAAAGAGGTCCATCAGGTAGAACCAGTCTGCCTGTTCTCAAAGGAGCTGATTCAAATATTCAAGTATCTTACGAATATGAGAGTAGTAATCAGGCAAAGGAGGAATATCTAACTAAATAAATAAATCACATAGTAGTGACTAAGTGCCATGTGCTTAGGAAATCTAAACATAAGCTATGTTGCTTCTTCCCCTGGGATTTATGATCTATTCTAGAAAGACAAGACTAAAATAAGTGAAGGTGCAGTGAACAATGCCTCACCAAATGATGGTCTGAATGGGCCACAGAGTTCAAGTGCGTCATGTTAGAAATCTAACGTAATCTCTATAAACATATTAAAGGTGAAAAATCACTTGATCATCAGATGGGGAAACAGCATGATAAAATTCAACAGCCGGTCACAACAAAAACTCTTAAACTAGAAATAGAAGAGAATTTCCTTAATGTTAGGAAATATCAAAAACACAAACATATTAAAACCTGAGAAGCATTTCCACTAAAAGCAGAAGAAAAACTAGGATATCTGCTCTCCTGTTGGAAGTCCTAACTCGAGACAAGACAGAGAGAGAGACAAAAATTGGAAAAGAGCATGAAACTGTCACTTTTGCCTTCACTGGAGATATGACTGCCTTCACAGCATTGCATTCGATTTACTTCCTTTAAATTTTTTTTAAAGTTTATTTATTTAATCTCTATACCCCATGTGGAACTCAAATTCAAGACCCCAAGATCAAGAGCCACACGCTCCTCTGACTGAGACAGCCAGGGGCCCCACTTTTTTTCTTTTTTAATTAAAAAAAATTTTTTTAAGGAAACTCTATACCCAATGTAGGCTCAAACTCACAACCCAGAGATCAAGAGTCACATGTTCTACCCACTGAGCCAGCCAGGTGCCCTGTCAGTGATTCACTTCCAAGTGAATCTACAAATTATGGGAGCTAAAAGATACTAAAACTGCTAGATACAAAAATCAATACACCAAACTTAGCATTTCTATACATCAGCAATGAATCTGAAAATGTAATTTTAAAAAGGATGCCACTCACAACAACTAAAAAGTACCTGGAAATATAAATAGAAAAAACAAAGTGAAAGACTATTACTGAGAAGACAGTAAAACATTGATGAAAGACATTTAAGATGTAAATTAACAGGGAGAAGGATAACAGTGATCCATGAGCTTTCTTTATGAAGTTTATGGAAAAAGATGGGAGTTGAGAATAGTTGGGGAGGCAAAAAAAAAAAAAAAAAGAGAAAGGGAAAACCAGATGGGAAGGCCCATAGGTGGTCCAGATCAGTAAGACAGCCTAGTGAATCTAAAACAGAGGAGATATGTTGAAAGGCAGTAGTAAGGGAAAATGGAGTCAGATGAGCAAATCTTGAAAATCTGATGTGCAGGGACTAAAGACCACTGACAGTTTCTGATTATGTGAATAAGATAATTAACACTTGATGGTTACTCTGGCAGGTGCAAGAGTGGACAGAACACCAAGGGTGTCAAGGGAAACCCAGAATAGGAGAAGACAGCCTTACTTTTCTATGGCTGATCAGACTGGAGCAGGAGTGCCATGTTTCAAAAAAAAAAAAAAAAAAAAAAAGGACTGAAAAACTAGAATATTCAGGGAATAGGCTAACCAGCGTGAACCTGAAACCATAAAGAATGGACGGAAGAATCAGAGATGTTTCGTCTAAAGAAAAGACTAGAGGGGGTCAGGGAGATAGAGGTACCAAGATAATGCTCTTCAAATGTGTAAAGGATTGTCACGTGGATTAGAACTGCTCTTTAGGGGCGGGCGGCCTGAGTGGCTCAGTCGTTAAGCATCTGCCTTCGGCTCAGGTCATGAGCCCAGGGTCCTGGGATCGAGCCCCGCATCGGGCTCCCTGCTCAGCGGGGAGCCTGCTTCTCCCTCTCCCACTCCCCCTGCTTGTGTTCCTGCTCTCGCTGTGTCTCTCTTGCAAATAAATAAAATCTTAAAAAAAAGAAAAAGAAAAAGAACTGCTCTTTAACACCAAGAACTAGTTAGGGAGACACTGACCAAAAATGATATAGATCATCTGAGGAAGTAGAGAGCCTATTTTAATGGGAGGTGATGAAACATAAACCGGAGGCCCCCTTAGTAGTGGAAACTGACGTGTCAGCATGTTAGCTGAACTGTAGAACCTAAAACAACTCTTCTAATTCAAAACCCACATTCCTATACCAGCTAAGCTGGTGTAGCTAGTGCAACGGTGGAGTAAAAGACACCTACTCTACAAACTTGGCAGTGGGAACATAAAGATGGAACTTTCATAAGGTGAGTAATGAAGACCCCATGGCTTAAAACAAGAGCTAACATTTAGAGTGCTGTGTGCAAGGTAGCGTTCTCTTTTTCATGAATTAACTTCAAAGCCTTATAAGCAGCCTTTTAAGCAGGTACTATTATTGCCCAGTTTATGTTGGGGAAAGTGAGGCACAGAGCAGCTAAGTAACTTGCCCAAGAGCACGCAGGGAAATATATGTGCTAGGCATACCAGCTAAATGATATGGAGAATGAGGGAGAGAAATAAATCAAGGATTATGTCAGTATTTCAAATTTGAGACAGCCAGGACTGGAGAACAGAGAAAGAAGTTAGGTGTGAGGCGTGCGCTGCAGGGTGGGGAACAGAAGAGGTAATGGGTCCAGATGTGTTGGATATGAGATAGAGCGGATGACAAGAGATGTTCAGCGGACAAGAGAGGACAGCCAACTGGAACTCAGAAAAAGGGACACAAGGTAGTCCTGGAAGCAGCAGCAGAGGAGAAAGGTGACAGCATGGCAAGGAACACAGTCCCTGAGGGTGGGTTTGAAGAAAAGAGCAGAGAGTCAAGGACTGAGCCCTGAGGAAAACCTAGTAACCAAAAGAAGGGAAAAGCAGCCAGCACAAACAGGCGCGATTAGATAGGGCCCCTTCCCAGCTGCTGCACCAAGATACTGATCCCCTCAGCCCTTGGAGGGGCCAGCACCCGAGCCAGTCACCTTCACGGGTTCTTCCATAAAGATAAATCCACGTGTGTTATAATGTTAAAGAATGTCAGAAAATACAGACACAAACGATCCAAAAGCCAAGGGAGGAGGGATTAAGGAGGTCGTGCTTAAGGGTACCAAGAACAGTAGCTGGTGCCAGTAACAGTCCTACAGGCAGTATGCACAGAGCTCCCATCCTGTCAGGCTTCCCCTCAGAAGCTTCCAAAGTTTCCTTACAACTGTAGCAAAACCTTAAGGAAGCCTCTGCAGTAAAAGCAAAGGGCAGCAGGACCACGGGAACAAGTTTCTGAGACCAGGATGATGGGAAAATATTTTAATCCCCGGAGGAATGAACAATGAAAGGAATAGATAAGCAAACTTAAATCTTAAAAAAAAAAAAGCAACCTTAGATATTAAAAAAAAAAGTAATCAACGTCCTCTCAGTCTGTCAATGAGCTACAGCTGTACTAGGCTCAATGCTATCATCTTACACTTTGGGGCTGATGTTTTTTTGTTTTTGTTTTTATTTATTTGACACAGAGAGAGACAGCAAGAGAGGGAACACAAGCAGGGGGAGTGGGAGAGGGAGAAGCAGGCTTCCCGCGGGAGCCCGATGCGGGGCTCCATCCCAGGACCCTGGGATCATGACCTGAACTGAAGGCGGATGCTTAACGACTGAGCCACCCAGGCGCCCCTGGGCTGATACTGTTTTTAACCTGAGTGTTTCCTACAACTAAAAGGCAGTAATTATTTCTACTGACTCCTACTTAGGGCACTGGAGAAACTTCCAGAGGCAAAGGAACAGCCCTGTCTTTGTTGGGCAATTTATGTCAAGGATACCTCTTTCCTCCTAAGGATTTAAAAAATCAGTTACCACCTCAAAAAAGACAAAGGGGGCACTTTAAAAAATTCTCTTTGATAAAATATGTAACATCCCGGAGGGCATCTCTTCTCCAGAGCACTCCATTTGGCCACCTGGAAGATAACTGCAACGTTCACCTGCCTCTTCATCAGAACGAGAGGTAGGAAGCATCAAGTTCGGAAGGCAACAAACACTTGGAAGAAAGACTCGGACTTGGAAATGTTTGGCGAGCCCTCCGGAAACCTTCACCAGGCAACCTTTGAAATACACTCGGCTGTGCCAGAAAGCCAGTTTTTAACCGGAATAAAGAGCCATGGGATAGGATTTGTTTACTCACAGTAGCACTCATTTCCCCCCAAAATGAGCCCTCTGGAGGAGTTCCGTGCACACCGGGGTCTGACTCATGCCAGCAACCAGCCATCCTCAAAGTCTGGAAGCCATAAAAGACCTGACGAGGGCTCGCCGAAGCCTCCAACTCTGCCCTTGTGCTTCCGCGCCTCGAGAGGTGGCTTACTAACTTAGAGTTCACTGCCGGCCCTCCCGGCCCTCCCGCGTTCCCAGAAAACCTACGAGCAGGGCCGGTTGGGGCGTGGGGGCAGGACAGGGGAGCCTACCAAGCCCCTGGGGCCCCAAAAGCTTTAACACGAGGATCACCCACTGCCTGCCGGGACGGCACAGAAGTGGCTGTGAAAATGCCCGCTGACACCTCCAGGTCTGAGGGACTCGGACGACTGCACAAGTACTGGCCAAGGGGCTTGGGCCCGGCAGACACCAAACCCCGCAGCCCACCCCGACAGGCGACGAGCGGGCGCCGCGGGGACCCGGACACACGCCCAGACCCCCCGAAACCCGGACCTAGGCCGGCTGGACAGGCCCCGGACCCACCCCCAGCCCCTCCTGGGCAGCTCCCCTCACCAAGAACTGGAGCATGGCGTCGGCGAGGAGGGCGCTAAGGGCGGCGGCAGCTCGGTGGGCCGGTCCGAGCCTGCCTCTCCCCGAGCGAGGGGCGGAACCCGCCGTGGGCTTCCGGGTCACGCCCGGCCCCGCCCGCACCTCCCGCCTCGCCTCGCCTCGCCTCGCCTCACCCCGAGCCGCTCGCGGCGCTCCGCCGCCGCCTGGCGGAGCGCCCCGGAATTACCGCTTGGACCGGCCGACTTGGGGAGAAGGGCCGCGCCCGGGGAAGCCTCAAGTCCCAGGCAAGGTCTGGCTGGACAGATTTGATCATTCAGAATCCAGAACGCCAGTCCCCAAATCCCGCTTCTGTAAACCTGGGTCGGGCCTGGGATCTAGATTACTACCAGCGCCCCAACGATTCTGATGCAGAGCCAGGCTTAGGACTCCCTCACCTAGAAGGACTGCAGGAGGCAGTGGATCCCATTCCTAGGTGCAAAGCAGAATCGTTCGTGGCGCTTTTGCAACATAATCTACCCAGACCCCACGCAGAATCTGTGGGACGGGAGGAGAGCTGTACGTTTCAAAAGTGCCACAGGTGTGCTATGTAACCTGCACTTTTGATAGAGGCTAGGTGCTTAAGTGGTTAAGCTAGAGGCCTTTGGAATCTGGCACAGCCGCGTCCAATTGATGACTGCCTTCACTTCCTGGCTACTTAACCTCTCTCAAGTTCGCTTTCCTTCTCTGTAAATGGGGCTAATTCCAGCTCCCCGTTGAACTGTTATATGAATCAAATGAGACAACGTGAGGGATCAATAAATGCTTGTCATGTGTCTGGGGTGGACAGTGAGCTCTAGAAGACCTCTCCTCATCCTGTCTCCACACAGAGCTACCCCATCATACTATGGGCCACCTCCTTCTCCTGGTCTTCAAAACCTTCAACAACCTCCATTAACACACGCTTCCAAAGCAAGACCACTTTGCTCTCAGCCTTCTGAATTCACCCCTTATCTGTTATATTAAGTAGAACTCTAGTTCCAAACCATAAAAACCAAATCATAATAGCTTAAACCATATGGGAGTGTGTTACGGAGATAAGGTGGACAACGATGGGGAATGGGAAAGGTGTCCAGAATTAAGCAGCATTTTCTCTCCATTTCTGCTTTTCTCCATACATCTGCTTCATTGTCCTCTCATTTTGACTTTTTTTCTGCCTTCCAGAATATGACCATTGTTACTGGAGTTTACTCATTAAATGATCCAACGATAGAAAAACTGGATCACTCTTCCCCAACCATTTTCAAATACCTGGGAATGGAATGCTGATTGGTCAAGTCAGTGTCGGGTCCTCTCTCATCAATTATAACCAGAGGAGTGGGATCTCTGAACTAAAGTGCCTGCCAAGAGAGAGATGCTGATAGATGGCTATAACACACTTCACTTTCCAACGTATCTAGAGTAAAACAAGACTCAGTCAAATCTTGACCAGTGCTCCTCAAATTCTAATGTGCATTCAAATCACCTGCAAATCTTGTTAAACTGCAGATTCTGATTCAGTACATCTGAGCCGGGGCGTGACATTAGGCATTCCTACCTAGCTCCCAAGTGATGCTGCTACCAGTGACCTCTGAGATATTTTGAGCTGCAAGACACCATACTGTGAGCTCCATGAAGATGAGGATTTCATTCCGTTCATGACTCCATCCTCAGTGCCCATCAAGTGCTTGGCACAGGCTCTGAACACAGGGTTTATTGAAGTTCCTTGCATAAAATCTTATCCCCTTCTCACAGATAAATCCTGAAAGGAAGCCTTTTCCTCTAAGGTCTTTTCAAAGGTTCTTTCTCTTATACCCCCAAATAACCACAAGGAGAGGGGGGAAAAGGGCAGAATTTTTTTGCTACTTTGAGATTATTACTTAAATGTTCTCTGATGAAAACACCAAGATTCATGCCTTCCCTTTATCCCTTCAGGATCTACTGACTTCCCAGGTGGTCCCCTTTCACCAAAGCCTTTAGCATCTAACAGCCTTCTTTTCAGCCTTGCCAAGCTATCATGATCATGGGTGACTCCCAAGGCCACATATACTTGTATTTTCCAGACTCCTTACCTCCGGTGACCTTCATCCTCACACCACTTCAGCAATCTACCACCATGTTCATAACCCATACTTTATCATCTACTGGACCTGCTCCACCTTTGAAGTATTATAGTCCCAAATCTTATTTCCTATTTTACCAATTCTTCTATCTTAGCCAGATCTCCAGTCTCAGCTGTTCCAGATTCTTACAAGCTGTGAGCTCCCCTCTGCCTTCACTCCCTTTCTAGCTGGTCTAAACCCCAAGAAATCTGAACTTCAATCTACGGAAACAACCAAGATGCCCTTCAGTAGGTTAGCAGATTAAAAAACTGTGGTACATCCAGACAACGGACTAGAAATCAGTGCTTAAAAAAAAAAAAAAAAAAGCTATCAAGCCATGAAAAGAACTGGAAGAAGCTTCAATGCATATTACTAAGTGAAAGAAGCTAATCTGAAAAGCCTACGTACTGTATGATTCCAAGTCCATGAAATTCTGGAAAAGGCAAACCTATGGGGACAATAAAAAGATAATTGGTTACGAGGGTGGGGGGTAAGCGGGAATGGAGAAATGAACAGGCAGAGTGCAGAAGGTAAGATTTCTAGGGCAGTGAAAATACTCTGTATATTATAGGGATGGATATATGTCATACATTTGTCCAAACCCAAAGAATACACACCAAGAGTGAACCCTAGGGCTTTGGGCGATTATGATGTGTCAATGTAGGATCATCTCTGGTAAAAACATACCATTCTGGTGAGTGATATTGATAATGGGGGGAGGGGGAACTATGCATGTGTGGGAGCAGCAGGTATATGGGAAGTCCCATGGGTGGGAGTAAATTGGAGGAACCACTGAGAAAAATTACTGCAACATCTAGTGAAATTTAAAAATTTTTTTTTTAAGATTTTATTTATTTATTTGAGAGAGAGAGAGAATGAGAGATAGAGAGCACGAGAGGGAAGAGGGTCAGAGGGAGAAGCAGACTCCCTGCTGAGCAGGGAGCCCGATGGAGGACTTGATCCCGGGACTCCAGGATCATGACCTGAGCCGAAGGCAGTCGCTTAACCAACTGAGCCACTCAGGCGCCCGAAATTTAAAATTCTTAATCTCCCTCTCAGGATTTCCACTTCTAGCTATGTAATCCAGAGAGGCCTTCCCACACGTCCTATGTCTCATCCAATGAGACACGTGTGATAACCATTGCAGCATTGTTTGTAATAGCAAAATACTGGGAATTTAAATGTATGCCAGTCCACCAACAATAGAATGCATAAATTAAGGTATTTGTAAAATGCAGTAACTACCATTCAATATTTATAATAAATGAGTATGAGGGATTATTAAAAACACAATGTTGAACCAAAAAAAGCAAACTGCAAATTGTTCCATAGTATGACAACACACATATAAAGACTAACAACCTGTAAAACTAGGGATAGGTTAAATGGGTGATGGGGATTAAGGAGTGCACTTGTGATGAGCACCAAGTGATGTATGGAAGTGCTGAATCACTATCCTATACCCCTGAAACTAATATAACATGCTGTTAACTGGAATTAAAAACTTAAAACAAAAAACCCTGTAAAACAATCCTTTTTAATGCTTATGTACACACACATATGTAGTGGAAGCATAAAACATGAACAGCAAATTCAACAATGAATTCTTGACAAAGCTTATCTCTGGGAGGGAAGCAGGGGAATGGGATCAGGGAGTTCACAGGAGCCCCAACTGTATCTACCATAGATTTCCTTAAAAAAATAACTCTGGGGCAAAGATGGTTAAAGATTTGATCAAATTAGCTTTTTCGGCCAGAACCGACATCTTCCAGTAATTCGCCAAAATGACCAACACAAAGGGAAAGAGGAGAGGTACCCGCTATATGTTCTCTAGACCTTTTAGAAAACATGGAGTTGTTCCTTTGGCCACATACATGCGAATCTATAAGAAAGGTGATATTGTGGACATCAAGGGAATGGGCACTGTTCAAAAAGGAATGCCCCACAAATGTTACCATGGCAAAACTGGAGGAGTCTACAGTGTTACTCAGCACGCTGTTGGCATTGTTATAAACAAACAAGGGCAAGATTCTTGCCAAGAGAATTAATGTACTCATTGAGCATATTAAACACTCAAAGAGCTGAGACAGCTTCCTGAAGCGTATGAAGGAAAATGATCAGAAAAAGAAGGAAGCCAAAGAGAAAGGTACTTGGGTTCAACTGAAGCGCCAGTCTGCCCCACCCAGAGAGGCACACTTTGTGAGAACTAATGGAAAGGAGCCTGAACTGCCGGAACCCATTCCCTATGAATTCATGGCATGATAAATGTAAAGAAAATAAAAGACCTCAAGACTGTAAAAAAAAAAAAAAAAAAGATTTGATCAAAGTAAGTCTATGACATGAGGACAGAATGGGTATCTGTTTATTACATTGATTCTATTATTTGTATGATTGAAGCCATACACAAATCGTTCAAATTTGAATACATGATAAAAAGCAATGGCTAAAAAGGTTTTTGGAAACATAAGTTCACAGTCTTGACGTATCAACCTATAGATTATTCATTGCAATGGAGAGGTGTGTCAAGCACTACCTTAATTAAGTGAGCAAGCTTAAAATAATGGGACAAACTGATATGTACCTCCTGATACGATATGCTGAAGGCGTATCACCCATAGAATTGTAATATTCTTGCCAAAACTGTTTAACATGAATTAAGAAACAAAAACTGTGGGACCTTTTCCAAAATAGTTTAAAAGTGTCAGGTTAAACAACTTCTCCCCTGAAAAGGGAGGGGAACTGCTTCTGAATGAAGGGAACACGACAGAACTAAATGTAATGTGTGATTCTTGGTTTAATTCTGGGTAAAAAAATAGAAGTTCTAGAAGTACATTTTGGGGGGCAATTGAAATTTGAATACAGACTGAATATTAGACAATTATTTATTGCATTTTATTAGCAAATGTCTTAAGTGCAATAATGGTATTATGATTTGGAAGGAAATACTTGCTGAAATATTATGGATA